GRWYMAACCCAGTGTCTCACACATGCTAGGTAAGCACTCTACTACTGAGATACAACTCCAGCCCCAGAGATTTGTCTTTATCTTGATACTGTTTGAAATTTTTTATCATGAGCATTTAACTGCTTTAAAAAATAAAAAAGTGAGTTGGGCTGTGTAGTTCAGTGGTAGAGTGCATACTTAACATATGCAAAGCCCTGAGTTTGATTCCCAGTAACCCAGACACACACAATTATTATTTCAAATTATCATTATTATGTCAAATAATAAATAATTAAGAAATGTCACCTCTTCCCCTCCTGGCTCCACTGGGTTGTCATGTTGACCAAATGCACTAGTATAATGCAGAGCCTTATATCAGGCCAAACAAACCAGGAATTCCTGCCTAACAACTGTGTAATAAGAGTGCTTGTTTGAGTTAAGTACTTTTTTACTTTTTTGGGGGGGGGGTGTTGCTGGGGTTTGAGGGGTGCAAGGCAACCACTCTATCAACTAAGCTATATCCCCAGCCTGCTTTCTTACTCTTAAGAGCAATTCTGAGTTGCTCAGCTGCAGAACTGTGCGGAAAAGCCACAGAACTTCCTAGCACTGTCAGATGTCTGATTAAAGCTGGAATCAGACCCTAGACAACAAACTAAGTGGCTGTGCAGGACCCTGTTCTAGTTGTCAGCCAAAGGCCAGTTCAACCTCATTTGACCTTCATAACCCAGAGGGAAGCAAYGCTCTACAGTAAAGTTTTGTCCCCAAGCATCTTTTCTTTCTCCTAATTTTTTAAGTGAGATATTTTTCTGCAAGTATTTCTAAACAAGTTTTCACTTTTTTCTCAGGATTCACTTTTGAGATAATTTTCACCAAGATCTAATAGCTGCTCATTTAAAAACTGTATTATACAGACGCCCAATTTTAACCCATAAAGGGAAGCTGGAAAGAAAATGTTTCATGATGCTCATTGTTTTACAGTGAAAAAAGTTGTTATACAAAAGACTTTTAGGGTCAAGTACTTTGCTTATTAAACTTCCCCACAGGTGCCAGAAAAATCTCTGGCCTCAAAATTCTGAGAAATATCAATAGTTTGAATAAGGGATGCATATCACATAATTCCCAGAAAATTGTAACTTCTAGCTGTTCTCAAAGACCTCTCCAGTCATTGCTCTAAGATGTGGCTGGGCTCTTTCTTTCTCTCTCATAAACAATATGCTGAAGTTGGTTGCTATGGCAAGAAAAGCTTGAAATCTCAATCATTTCTGAGTTGACATGGTGTACAAACATTTCTGTGCCCTTCTCCTGCAGCAACCACTACAAACTGTTTGGGATCCAAGTTAAGTGAAGGAAATGGGACAAGAAGGAGGGAGCAACAGGGAACAGAAACAAGGTCATTGAAGAGAGGCAAGGGTTGTTGATTTTAACCAGGAAATCAACTCATGTGATTGTAGTAGAAGCCAGGCCTGGGGGAACACCCACCAAGATCAAGTCATTAAGAACAAAGTTGCGACAGGACAAAGTAAGAAAAACAAAAACAAAAGGGGGAAGAAACTGGGTAACTAAGTAAGCCCCACTGTTGTTTTTTATTGCATCTTTCTGATTATCTGTTTACAGACCAGGTCTCCCACAGTGAACCACCAGTTCCACAAAAGTAGGGACCACCCCTCATCTATGCCTGAATCCAGCCCTCCTTCAGTAAGGAAGTGAAGCCACTTCTTACCCTCTCTGCTGCCATCATCCTAATCCAAGCCTCCATCATTGCTCTCCTACAGTGTTTCAATGATAATAATAGCCATCAGGAACATTTAGAGACACTTATTCTGGGCCAGGTTTTAAGTGCTTCAATGGAATTCACTTAATTCAGTCCTCAAAACACTCTTGAGGTAGATCCTATCATTTCAAATTGTTCTCATAGATCTCTCTACTCTTTGGTCTCAGACCTGGATGCCTTCACTTTCTCTCCCATGAACAATATGCAAAACAATGTCCCCTTACATGGAGATCCAGAGAGTTCTAGAAGGCACAACTAGATTGGCAGAACTAGGATAGCCATACTGAGCTTTTCAAAATTTGAGCTTTTCAAAATTCTTCAGCGATTTCCTCCAACTGCTAGAATAAAATTGAAACCCCTACCACGGGAGTTCAGGACTCTTCTTGTCCTTTCTGTTCCATATCAGTACTCTGCTGCCTCCAGACCTTTGTATTTGCTTTTCCCTCTTCCAGAAACATCCTTCCCCTGTTCACATTGCTGGCTCCTTTCCAACCTCCAGTTCTTTACTTAAAAGTCACCTTTTAAGATAGACCCTCCCTGGCCACCCCCTCCTCCATTTCACATCCAGAGCACTTAACTCGATCCAAAGTCACTTTAGTCATGTGTCTGGCGCCTGCTCCCCACCCCCTCCTTAATACTCTGCGGGTTCTGGAAACAGGCTGCGTCTGTTCTGAGCCGCCCGTGGCCCCGCTCCTGGCACAGAGCCTGGCACACAGTGAGCGCTCAATGCTGATCTGCAGACCTGATGAATGCTAGAAGCCCAACGTTCTGCTGGGTCCATGGATCCCAGGCCGCGGGCTCCAGGTCGAGGTGAGCTCAGGGCCCTGCCAGGCAGCAGCAGCCGCGCGACACCGTGGCTCAGGCCAGGCTCCAAAATGAGAGACGCGGCGGCTGCTCCTCACCTGCGCGTGGCGGCAGCGGTGCCAGATCCGCCCGGCCAAGGTCAGGCCAGTGGTTCGGCCCSGCACCTGGCCGTCCGCCCTCCCCAGGGGCGGCCGGGCCTCAAACCGTCGCGGCAGACACGGTCCCCTGGACCGGGAGGCAACGCGCCCCCGCGCKGGGCCCCATCCCGGTTGGAGGTTGAGCCGGCAACTCCTCCCGTTCCAGGCCGGGGAGGCTAGCTGTAGCGCCCGGGCAGGACACGGCGGGCTGGACCTCTCTCGTCCGGTGCTAGGCCCGTTCCCCGGGCAACGGAGCGGGCTACGGCGCCCCATAGCGGCCAAACCGCGCTGCGTCACTTAGCGCCGGTACCCCGGTTCGGGGCGGGGCTTGCCAGGGACCCCCTGGCTCCCCAGCCGGCCCATTTCCCGTTTTTCTCCCCCACCCCAAGCTTTCTTCGGAGGAAACCCTTTACCACCACCACCACCATCCATCCACAATTTGTCTATCTGATTTGTCCCAAACGCGTCCCCTTTTCAATTTCTCACCTTTAGACCATCACTTTCAGGAAGACCCCAGGCAACCTCTAATTAAAGTACGTGCTAGGCACTGGCCCTTCAGGAGATTACTGGTTGAGGGGCAGACAGATCTAGACAAATAAATTGCACTACTTAAAGTGAAGGCACCTCATAATACAAAGTGTGAAGTATAAGAGTTTAGCATAAATAATGCAAAATATCTCATTTCCTTATTRCCCCAAACAGATCATAAATCCTTCTGGGAGACCCCATCTTCCAAGTTGATGGGAAATTCAATTTTGGTCTCCACTGGACTCCACTTTCCCAGTGCGTTCCAAGGGGCTCTTCTAAACCAAAAATCCTCCAGTCATGAGTCCTCTCTGATACTAAGGACATCACCATGACTTCAGTCCTTGAGGATTTTCAAGTCTGGGCTCTGCCAGGGAACAGACACCAGGGTCTGAGGCTCGCTTTCCTCTCTTTGCTGAGCTGGGCTGCCTGAAAGCTCCCCCTCTCCTTTTCTCTGGGGACACTCAGAATGGATCCTCCTGTGAACTCAGTCCTTTTCAAAAGACAGGATGAGTCTTTTGCTGCCATCTTCTCCATATCTCTAGGGCCCCAAAATGGTGAGTAGGGTTAGTTGGCTATCTGCTCAGAATGGGCAAATAGAGACAGAAAACATCCGTATCTCTAAAATGTTTAAGTCACAAGCATGCAATGAAAGTGACATAACTCTTCCTGCTCTGTCATGAGCCAGTCAAGGGCCCTCATGCAAATGACTTAACCTCTGTATAATTTAAATTCATGTTTTCAATATTGATAAAACACAAACTTGAGGCTGGGCATGGTGGCGCGTGCCTGTAATCCCAGTGGCTAGGAAGGCTGAAGCAGGAGGATCTCAAGTTCAAAGCCAGCCTCAGCAACTTAACAAAGCCCTAAGCAATTTAGCGAGACACTTTTCAAAATAAATATATATCAGTGGTTAAGTGCCCCTGGGTTCAAGACCCAGCACCAGAAAAACAAAAACAAAAACAAAAATATTTCAAACTCCACGTAGAATAAATATCAAGGTTACCCTGGCTTCAGAAACAAGATGTCTTCTTAGTTCTTATCTGGAAATGGAGAAAACTTAGGATCAAATAGAGATAGTGACTCAAAAAATCAAGGTGAGGGGCTGAGGATGTGGCTCAAGCGATAGCGCACTTGCCTGGCATGCACAGGGTGCTGGGTTCAATTCTCAGCACCACATAAAAATAAAATAAAAGATGTGTCCACCGGGGGGGAAAAAAAGGAATACACATAGTGTGGTTTATTTAAAAAAAAAATCAAGGTGAAGGGTGAGTCCATGTATGCCCATAAAAGGAGAGGATCCCAAGAATCACAGCCCTCTAGTCTGTGGATCCATCTACCTCTAAGGCTCCTCTCCTGGATGTCCCAAGGGTGTCTTAGATGCAACACATCTCTATATGCCCTCTTTGTCCTTGTCACTAACCTGCTTTGCCCCTTGGGCCCCCCAAAGGGCACTGTCACATACCCCACCAGCCCATCTCTACACTCAGGTATCTTCCCACATCTGCTCTCTAGTTCTTGCCCACCTAACCCAGATAGCCCCCTAAACCAGGCTGTCCTCCCTCTGAAACATGTCCTATGTCCAATCTTCCCCTCCAACCTAGACAGACCACCAGCATCTTCCTTGCTGATCTTTACAGCAACCACCTGTCTGGTCTCCCTAACATCAGTCTACCTATTTCCAGTCCATTCTCCTCCCAGATGCCAGGCTGATCTTTCTTTTTCTTTATTTGTTAAAGTGGATATTAGTTTGAATAACAGCCTCCTTCCCAAAATGTCCATGCCCTAATCCCTGGGAACCTGTTGGTATGTTACCTTACAAGTTGAAAGAGATTTTACCAGTGAGATAAAGTTAAAGATCTCAGTTGGGAAGATGACCCTGGATTATCTGAGTCGGCTCAAGRTAATCACAAGGGCCCTTGTGGGGTAAGAGTAGGAGAAAGATGTGATGATGGAAACAGAGGTCAGCGTAGTAAAGGCACTTTGAAGATGGAAGAAGGAGCTATGAGCCAAGGAATGCATGTGGTTCTAGATGCTGGGAAAGGCATGGAAATGGGCTTTCCTATATCCCCCAGAAGGAAACAACCTGCTGTCACGTTGGCTTTTTAGCTCAGTGAGACCCATTCCAAAGTTCTGACTTCCAGACGCATACGATAATACATTTGAACCAAGCATGGTGTTCCATGCCTGTAATCCCAGCAGCTCAGGAGGCTGAGGCAGGAAGATCATGAGTTCAAAGACAGCCTCAGCAATTTAACAAGGCTCTAAGCAATTCAGTGAAACTCTGTCTCTAAATAAAATACAAAAAGGGGCTGGGAATTTGGCTCAATGGTTAAGCGTCCCTGAGTTCAATCCCTGGTACCAAAAAACAAACAAACAAACAACAACAACAACAATAAACACATTTGTATTGTTTTAAGGCATTAATGTTTGTGGTAATTGGTTACAGCAGCAAGGGGAAACAAATACAGCGGGTTTGTTTGATTTGTAGTACTGGGAATTGAACCCAGGGGCACTCTACTACATCCCCAGTCCCATTCTTATTTGTTTGTTTGTTTGTTTGTTTTATTAGTGTATTATAGTTATACATAATAGCTGGATTTATTTTGACAAAATCATACATGTAAGGAATKTGATTTATTCCATTTCCATCTTCCTCCCATTCCTCTCTATCTCCTCCTCCCTCTCCCTATTCTCCTTCCTATAATCTACTGGTCTTTCTTTCACTTGTTTACTTAATAGTTTATTTTTGACCAGTGTTTTATATATATAAAGGCAGAATTTGCTGTGGCATAGTTATATATACACATATCATAATTTTGTTGAATTCATTCCTTTCCTGTCTTTCTTCCCCCCTCCTCCCTCCCTCTCAATCCCCTTCTACTCTCCTGAGCTTCCCTATGATGTCTGAACACCCTCCCCTGTCACTATTTTCCTTTATTTTGCTCTAGCATCTGCGTATGAGACAAAACTTTCTACCCTTGATTTTCGGAGTTTGGCTTATTTTACTTAGCATGATGTTCTCCAGTTCCTTCCATKTACCTGCAAATGCCATAATTTCATTCTTCTTTATGGCTGCATAAAACCCCACTACATTTTCTTTATCTATTCATCTATTGATGGTATCTGGTCCCAGCCCCATTTTTAAATTTTATTTTGAGACAGGGTTTTACTAAGTTGCTGAGGCTGGCTTTGAATTTGCAATCCCCCTGCCTCAGCCTCCCAAGTAACTGGGATGACAGATGTGCACCACCACTCCTGGCTGCAGTGAGTTTCAAATAGAAGTAAGTGAACCTACATATAACAAGTTACAGTTATTTTCATTTGAAACAAACAAACAAAAAAACAAGTGACAGCTTAGAGTCCCTCCATGTCCCTCTGGGTGATGGCAGGCCAGTCTCTCAGAAAAGGATCCTTTCCCCCCAAGTCTGCTATCTAAAGGCACTGAGAGCTCCATCATGTTCTCTCTGATTTTATCATCATCATGAGATCTCCAGTCCAGAAGCTGACACTCCCCAGGGTACCACTGACTAAGGAATACTACAGGCTGCCTTTTCCCAGGTAGGTGGGTATCACAGAACTCTTCCTAATGCAGAAACATCACCCCGTTAGTTAGTCCTTTTTTATACCTCCAGGGCTCCCTTTGCCTTTAGAATCACTGGAAATGCTGGAACATGGCTTCCCAGGCCTTGCTCAGACAGTTTCTGTCCTCCATGGTCATAGCCCACCTCTGTCCTCAGTGATGACCTCAGCTACTGGAACCAGCAGTGTTTGCTTTACCCTCGGGCCTTTTCCCACAGGCTTCCCTTTGCTGGGAGTGTTGTCCCAACTTCTCTCCTCACTACCCTGGGGGRGCCAATTTCTATGAAAACAAGAGACACATTTTTCTGGTACAGAAGTCAGTCCCTTGGGCTTGTTCCTGCCCAGAGCTGTTGCCTCTGACTAGCAGGACAGGTCTGCCCAGAGTAGACAAGCCCCAGCCACTGGAGATAAAGGCCAACTGTGTTTTTATGGCTTGAATGCACGCAAGTGAGAAGATTGAGAGCTGGCTTACAAGACTCCTGGGAACTACCAGAGACTCCTGGGCAGGCAGAGCTGGCTCATCCTACCCTGGGCCTGAGCCAGGAATAGGTTCTCAATCAGAGTTAGTGTACTGGCGGGATTCCTGGGACTTGTCACCTGTGCCAGGGCAGATCAGTGATTACCTATTTCAATCCCAGCTCTGACAGTCACCAACCAGGTGGTGACCTTAGACAAATCTCCCAACCTCTCTAAATCTCAATTTGCTTGTATGTAAAGTGGGGGTACCAATAGCTGCTACACAGCATTGTAATGCAGCCTGAAAATTGACCATACAGGTAAAGCACATGAAGGAGGAGTAGTCATTGGTGTATAATCTGAACCTTCCCTGTCCATTCCCTGATGCTATCCATTTCATCAATGAATGCAATTAAATTTAATTATCAAATTAGCCTCAGTGGGAGGTGGGTAACCAGAGCTCTTGCTCTCTGGGTCTGCTTTGTCTGGGTCACAGTGTCCTTCCTCTTCAATGGGCCCTAGATGAATCACTTGGCTTCTCCATAAGGCCACCAGCATCTGTTGCCCTGGTCAGCCCAACAGTCTCCCTGCAACCATTGGAGGCTCTTTGCTCCTATCCCCACTCCCACCAGCCCATTCTTTTCACAGCCTATGGTGGTC